ATATATTCTTATTAACTTAAACTATTTTTTAAGTATTTTATTAAAGAATTACTTTATTAATTTAAATATAAAAAGCTTTAATTTTTTTTAAATATTAAAATTTATTATTTATAAATACTGTATTTAATTAAATTACTTTATAATTAAAAAGTATTATATAAAGCTATTTAATAGTTATTAATCTATCTTAAAGTTTATACATAAGAAATATATAAATTATATTTAGAATACTAATTCTTAAGATAAATAATCTTTTTTTACTAAGTATTTAGTTCTTAAATCTAATTTTAATACTTTCTTTTAACCTTTTATTTAATAAGAAGTATTTTATTAATTATATATGCTATTTATATATTTTTAATAAACTCTCTTTAGCTTAAAAGAATAAGTCTTTTTATAATAAAGCTATTTAAAATACAAAGAAGTATACTATTTAGAATAAGCCTTTAAGCTTTTTAAAGGTTTAAGTCTTTATAATTTAGCCTATTAATAGTAATTTAGAATTAGACTAATTAATTAATTTAATTCAACTTATTTCTTATATATTAAACTATTCTATTTAATAGTTTTAATACTTAATTTAGTTATAATAATATAAGATAAATAAGATTTTATTAATTAGCTTTTTTATAATTAAATTCTCTTCTATGTAAAATATACTTATCTTTTTATAATACTATATCTAACTTACTATTCTAAGTAATATAGTTTTGATTGCTTTTTCATTTATTTTATAGTTCTAAAGTTATTTCATTAATTAATTTATATATTTTATATATTTATCCTATTATCTATTTAATCTTAAGTTTAATTTTTAAATTATAAATTTATAAAGCTTGTAACTAGTAATAACATTAGTAAGTAGTAATTATATATCTTTTCTTATTTCTTATACTATACCTCTTTTTAAAATAATAATAAATATAAACTTTAGACTTATTATTATTTCTTACTTTTTTTTATTTATTTAAAAAGATTTAAATTTGTCTTTTTTAGCTTAGTCTTTATATAAGAATTAGATTTTTAGTTTTCTTTTCTTTTTAATACTAATAGTAATTAGTTAAGAAGAAACCTTAAAGCTTATTTTTAATCTATTCTTTTCTTCTAAGCTTATTTCCTTATTCTAATTTATTTAATAAATTAACTTAGCTTAAAGATTATTATAAAACAGGCACTTTTAATAAAAGAGAATTAAAGAATTATTACTTAGGCTTTATTAATTATTTTTATTATATTAAAATACTTTAAAGTATTTATTATAATAAGTAATACTAAATAATAATTAATTTAGAGTTTTTAATTAAAACTAGCCTTTATTTAAAGCTATTTTAACTTTATATAGCTTTTATTATTTAAATTTAAAATTAGTTATTATAAAAAGTCAGTTTTTTTTAAAATTATTATATTATAATATTAAGTTATTAACTTTTAATAAGGCTTTTTTTAAAGTATAAGAAAATCCTTAATCTATTCTTATTACCTTCTTCTTTTTAAACTTAGTAATCTTTTATTTTATAATTTTATATGTTTATTTAGAAAAAAAAGAGTATAGATTCTAATTTTTAAAGTTAGAGTCCTTAGTAATGCATACTTAAAGAGAGGCTAGAAATTAAATAGTAAAAAAAATAAAAGAACTAATAGTAAATAATAGTATAAAGGCTTAAAACCTAAGCCTAAAGTAATAGTAACTTAGAATAACTAGAGTGTTTATTGCATTAGGGTATAAGCCTTATTATTCTAATTCACCCTTTAAGATGCATTAAGTAACTAGAAAACTAGATAGAAAAGCTAGATAGAAAAGCTAGATAGAAAAGCTAGATATCAGAAGGCAAAATCGTCATACGATAAAAGCCCCGTAAGGGTTCGTCGCATTCTAAGCTTATGGCAATTCTAAGTCGCAATTCAATATTACATCGCAATTTAACTGCTTATAATATAACTAACTTATAATAACCTCCCTAACTAAATAAACAATATAATGCATATATAATGCATTATATAATAATTTAGTAGACCCTTATTAATACTAATATATAAGAATTATCTTATATATATACTAATTAAAAGAATTAAAAAAGATTAAAGCTTATTATTTAAATTATAAAAAGTATTTTATTTATTTAATTTAAGACTTATAATAAAAACTAAGTTTTATTAATCTAATTATAAAAAGCTTATTTAATTAATAATTTTTAATTATTATATTTTTTAAAAGAATTTCTTTTTATAAACTTTATTAAATAAGAATATAATTTAATAAATTAAAATAAAATAAGTCTTATTAAAAGAATTAGTTTAAAAAAATATAAAAAAAATAATAATTATTAATAATATATTCTTTAATAATTTAAAAAGTACTAGTTATAATATATAAGTTATATAATTATAAGCTAATCTTATACTAATTAATATATAGTTAAAGGAGTGATAATTATATTAAAAACTAAGGGAATCTTATTAGAATAGTTAAAGGATTTAATAAAGGAAGGTTTAGAAGAAGAGGGATAAGAGTCTATCTATAACTAGGTTAACTAATTAATCGAGTCCTTTATCTTAAGATAACTTAAGTAATATAAATATATAATATAGAAATGCAGTAATGTAAAAATAAAAGTTCGAATAGCGGTTTTAATAGCGCTAAAGAGTATTATATTAATTAAAATTACTATTTTTTTTTAAAAAAAAATACTAATTATTTTAAATTAATTTATAATTAAAAGCTATTTACTTAAATAGAGTATAATAAAAGAGTTTACTCTTTCTATAGCTAGAGTTAAATCTACTCTCTTAATATACCCCTCTTTATAAAGATCATCTCTACTCCCTAACTAAAATCATTTCTACTTCTTAACTAAGATCATCTCTACTTCTTAACTCAGATTATCTCTACTTCTTACTTAAATTTCTTTTTATTTGTTATTTATAATTATTTATATTTTATTAAAAAAATTAATTAAAAAAAATTAGAAAATTTAGATATTTAAATTAAAATGTATTTTAATTTTTTAAGATTTTTTTATTATAGAATAGAAATAATTTTCTTAGTTAAGAGGTAGAGATGACCTAGGTTAAGAAGTAGAAATAATCTCAGTTAGGAGGTAGAGATAATCTTAATTAAGGAGTGAAGATGACCTTTATAAGGAGGGGTATATTAAGGGATTAGATTTGACTCTAGCTATAGAGGGAGTAGACTTTATATATACTCTTACTTAAATACTTAGAACTAAGATTATATAATTTATTATTTTTAAATCTTTTTTAATTTTATTTAAAACTTTAATTTCTTATATTAAAGTAAATTAATATACTTTATTATTATAAATAAACTAATATTATTATTTATTTTTAAAAGAAATTATAAAAAAGTTTCTAATAATATATAAATATTTAAAATAAATTTTATAAAATACTATATATTACTATTTTTTAAATTATAATCTCTTTTTAATATTAAAATAATCTTAAGATTATTTTATATAAATAATATATTTACTTAAAGTTATTATTTAATTATATATATATAAACTATATTACTAGTTTTTAATATTATAATAATATATATATTTATAAAGTATAAAAAATATATTTATAATAAATAATAAATCCTAATTATACTTTATTATTATTATTATTATTATTATTATTATTATTATTATTATTATTATTATTATTATTATTATTATTATTATTATTATTATTATTATTATTATTATTATTATTATAATTATTATTATATTAAATAAACTAATATTTAAAATACTTATATTTTCTTTATTCTTTTTATTTAAATAAATATTTAAAAATAATATATTAAATATTAAAAATCTTTTTTATTAATTCAATATTTATATATATAAAGTATTACTATTAAAACCACTATTCAGACTTTATTTTATATTACTACATTTTTATATAATTATATATTTATATTACTTAAGTTATCTTAAGATAAAGGCCTTAATTAATTAATTAACCTAATTATAAATAGACTTTTATTCTTTCTCTTTTAAACCCTCTTTTATTAAATCCTTTAATTATTTTAATAAAATTCTTTTAATTTCTAATATATTAATTATTTTATATATTAATAATAACTATATTATTTATAATTTATATTATTTACTCTTTATTAATATTAATTAATAATTTAAAAAAAAATATTTTTTAAAAATATTTTAAATATTAGCTTTAGTATTAATTACTTTAAAAAATATTATTTATTTTTAATCTAGTTTTTAAATTATAAATTATTTTTAAAAAAAATACAATCTTAAAAATACTTTAGTTTTAAAGATTATTAAAATAACTTATTTATTATTAAAGAGTTATTAAGTTTTAATAGTTCTAATTTTTTTTAAAATTATATCTTATTATTATAATTTTTAATTTATTAAGGGTTTTTATATTTTTATTAAGTTTAATATTTAAATTATATATAAAAGAATATAATAATTATTAAAACTTAAATTATTAAAAATATAGAGTATATTATAGTAAATATTTATTATAGTATTTATTATAAGTTAATTAAATTATAAAGAGCTTAAAAATAATACTAATCTTTAATAAGTTAGTTTTAATAAGTTAAATTATAATTTAAAATTATAAAAAGGTAATTAAATTATGATTTAGAATTATAATAAACTTAGAATATAATAAAGTAATGTAGAGCTCTTATAAGGCTTTTATTATATAATGATTTTACTTTTTAATATCTAGCTTTTTTATCTAGCTTTTTAATTACTTAATGTATTTTAAAGGGTTAATTAAGATAGTAAGGCTTATACTTTAATATAATAAAAACTCTAGTTATTCTGAATTACTATTACTTTAGGCTCAGGTTTTAAGCTCTTATACTATTATTTATTATTAGTTATTTTATTTTTTTTAAGTATATATTATTAAAGGATTATAACTTTAATATAGAAAAGTATTTTAAATATTAAAATAATTTACTTTTAGTTTAATTAATACTTATATTTAATATAATATTAAGAAGAAGTCCCGTGGCGCAGTGGTCAATGCGTCTGGAGATTTTTGCGACAGCAATAGGTCGTGGGTTCGAATCCCGCCGGAGCCAACTTCCCTTTTTTCCGGAAGAGACCCCCGCCTAGGGTTACGGGTGGCCTTAGGGTCACGTGACGCATTGGCTGTGATTGACAGAGGACCCTCGTGCGTCCCGGATCACGTGCTCGATCACGTGCAGGCTGATTACCTTGGCACGTGACAGCGAGACCCACCGTAGGTCTCGTAGCCTCACGTGACTCGACGGCAACGGCCGTAGATGACGTCATGGGGTGCTATTACGTCATCCGACCACCCGCCGCGTCGGAGAGGGTTGGCCGAAGACGCGTCGGACATCGTTGATAAGCCTGCTGTTATCCAGCCAATCATTGATTACCGAGTTGCCTATCTGGGCTTAGCCCGCACGTGCGCGCGCAGCGCACGTACACGCTGGGACTAATAAAGGGAGATAGCGGGGGTTTTTCATCGCCTGATTGGACGTATCAGCACCCAACAGCGCGGTTTTCCATCGTTAGTTATGTGGCGTCTCCCGGGGGTAGTAAGTGCGGCACAAATCGACCAATAGGGATAGGATTGGAAGGACCGGGCCGCCGGGCAAGGAGTCCGGACCTGTTTACAGGGGTCGGACACAAGGGCTTGTAACTAGCTTACATATATAAACCCTAGTCTAGCTAATACACACGCGTTCCATCATAATATTAAGAAAAAAAGCTAAAATATATAAAAAGATTTTATAATTTAGTAAAAAGATAATACTATATTTTTATACTTTAATATAAGTAAGTTATCTTTACTTTTTAATACAAGTAATATTCTTTTACTTTTTAAAATAAATTTAAATAAAGAATAAAAGCATATATCTTTAAAAATTTATATTTATTAATTATTATAAATATTAAAGTAATTTACTTTTAAATTAAAGAATATTTATTTATAATAATAATTTAAATAATAAAATTAATATATTTTATTATTATTAAGTAATTAAGAATAAAATAAGATTATACTTATATTATTTAATTTAATATTAATAGTTTTTTTTATTATTAGTTTATTTAAATAATATATAAAACTTTATAAATTAAAAAGCTATTAACTTATTATAAATATACTTAATTTACATTTATAATAAGAAAAAGTAAGTTAATTTTAATTATTATATAAATACAGATAACGTACATAATAAGCGAGTCAGAAATACAAGTGAGTCGGAAATTACATAATACACCTTAAAATGAAATTTTAGAAAAATTCTTAAAAACTAAACTAGGTCTAAAATAACTAAAATTTTAAACCTAGCTTATTTATAATGCATGTTATTTTTAAGAATTTTTTTAAGCTATATATACCTATAGCGCTAGTAATATAGAATTCGCACTGTTTTTTTTACTATTTTTACTTATAATAAGCTTAATAAATTTTTAAAATTCTTTTAAAAAATACTATTTTATAAAATTTTTTTTAATTTATTCTAAAAATGTGTTTTTAGATCTTAATAAGTTTTATATCTAGTTTTAAGAAATCTAAAATTGCTTATTTTAGCTGTATAGTATGCTTTTCTGACTCGCTTGTATTTTTAACTTACTTATTATGTATGTTATTTATTTAATTATTCTATTTTTATAAAGATTAAAAAAATATTATTATATTATTTTTTATATTAACTTCTATTTCTCTATTTTCTCTATATAAACTATTAAAAATAGTTTTTATTTTTAATAATAATTTTATAGAATATAAGTATGTATTAATTAGCTTAAAATAGTATCTTTTTATTCTTTAAATTATTCAAATTACTTAAAATATCTTTAGAAAAAGATATTATTTATTATAATATAATTATATTATTATCTTTAATATTAATATATTTTTTTCACTTTAAATAATCATACTTTTATTAAAGAAAAGTTAAGTTTTTTATATTTTTATTATAATTAAATTATAAAATATATTATAATAGAATTTAATTATATAAATCTTTATTATTTATATTATATTTATAAGTATATTATAATATTTTTTAATAATATTTAACATCTTATTAATTTTATTCTTTTATATCTTTTATTAAAAGTTTTAAAAGATATTTATATTTTTTAATATTTTTTTTAAGGTTATAGTCCTTTAGTAATGCATACTTAGAAAGGGGCTAGAGGTTAAATAGTAAAAAAATAAAAAATAACTACTAGTAAATAATAGTATAAAGGCTTAAAACCTAAGCTTAAAGTAATAGTAACTTAGAATAATTAGAGTTTTTATTATATTAAAGTATAAGCCTTACTATTTTAATTAACCCTTTAAAATATATTAAGTAATTAGAAAGCTAGATAGAAAAGCTAAATAGAAAAGTTAAATAAAAAAGCTAGATATTAAAAAGTAAAATTATTATATAATAAAAGCTTTATAAGAGCTTTATATTTATTATATTCTAAATTACCTTATTATAATTTTAAATTATAATTTAATTATTTCTTTATAATTCTAATTATATTATAATTTAATTTATTAAAAAATAACTCTTTATAATTTAATTAATTTATAATAAATACTATAATAAATATTTAATATAATATATTTTATACTTTTAATAATTTAAGTTTTAATAATTATTATAATCTTTTTATATATAATTTAAATACTAAGTTTAATAAAAATATAAAAACCTTTAATAAATTAAAGACTATAATAATAAAATAGAATTTTAAAAAAACTAGAATTATTAAAACCTAATAATTTTTTAATAATAAGTAAATTATTTTAATAATCTTTAAAATTAAAGTATTCCTAAGACTATGCTTTTTTAAAAGTAATTAATAATTTAAGAATTAGATTAAAAATGAATAATACTTTTTAAAGTAATTAGTAATAAAGCTAGTATTTAAAATATCTTTAAAAGAAATAGTATTCTTTTAATTATTAGCTAATATTAATAAAAAGTAAATAATATAAGTTATAAATAATATAATTATTATTAATATATAAAATAATTAATAATTATATTAGAAACTAAAGAAATCTTATTATAGTTATTTTTAATATTAATTATAATAAGTTAAAGGATTTAGTAAAAGAAGGTTAGTTCTTAGTAATTAAAAGAATAGGGATAAGAGTTTATTTATAATTAGGTTAATTATTTAATTAAGTCCTTTATTTTAAGATAACTTAAGTAATATAAATATATAATTATATAGAAACGCAGTAGTGTAGAAATAAAAGTTTGAATAGTGGTTTTAATAGTAATATTTTTTAATATAACTATAATAAACTATTATTATAAGACTTATTATAATATCTTTTTATATAATAATATATAATTAAAAAAGCTTTAATTTAAGTAAAGAAAAATAATCTTTTATATATTTATATTTAAATTAATATTATTAAAATAAAAAGCTAAAATATAGTTAATATAAAAGTCCTTTTAATTATTTATAAATACTTAGTTTAAAAAGAATTATTAATTTAAAATAAAATATAAACCTTATATTTAATACTATTTATAAAAAGAGGCTTTAATTTAAAATTATTAAATAATATTAATATTATATTAATAGATTTAAATAATATAAATATAGTTAAATATAATAACTTATTATTAGATTTTAATATATTTTCTTACTTTAAAAATACTAATATATTCATTAAAAATATTTATATAATTATATTTAGAATTACTAATAGTATACTTAAAGATCCTTATATTAATTATAAGCTTATAACCTTTAGCATATTCTTTTTAAAATAAAACTTTTAAAGCTAATAATATTACTAAGTTATAATTTTTAATAAATACTATAATAATAGCTTATTTAAAGTAATTATAGATTATTATTATTACTTTAATTAAATTTAAACTCTATATTTATATTAATTATAAGAATAAGTTTATTAATACTTTAAACCCTTTTTTTTATTAAAATATTTTATATATTTCTTCTTTTTAAAATTAATAATTTAAAGATTATTAAAGAATAAATTAATTAATTTATTATAATCCTTAGTTCTTAAGCTTTACTTTTATAAAATAAATATATTATAGCTTATTTTATAAATATAAATACTATTATTAATTTAATATCTTCTTATAATCTTATTTTATAAACTTAAATTAATATTATATTAAAAAAATATAATAATTAGTTTTTTTAATACTAAGAATTCTATGTTCTTATTTTTAATACATAAATATATTCTTATAATTATACTATTAATATATTAAGTATTAAAAAGGATTCTTTTAATTAAATTAAAAGATTATTATTTATACCTATATTTATAAGACTATAGAGTATTAAAGTAAAGCTTAAAAATAATTAAAAATTAGATAATCTTATTATTTAAGAATTACTTAAAGCCTTTTTAAATTTAGATTTTATTAGCCTTTTTTATAAAAGTATTAACTAAGCTTTTATTATAAAATTACATTACTTATTATATATTATAATATTCTTATAATTTAGTTTATAATTAATTCTAATAATCTTACTAATCTTATTAAACTTTATTTAATAATATATTTACTTTATAATTCAAAAATAATTAAAAAGTTTTTATAAATATTAAGTATAATATATTAATATATATATTTATTTCTTTTAGATCTTTTAAGTTAAATAGTCTTTTTTTATTATAAAATAATATTATTTTTTAAATACTATATTTATATTAAAAAATAACTCTATCTTTAGTTATATTAATTCTTATTTTAATATAGTTAAAACTAATTAAAAAAGAGCTTTATATTAATATAGATTTCTTTAGCTTTATAATAATTTAAATATTTAAATTATATTTTAACTTATAAATAAAGTATTTATAAAAATACTTTTATCTTAATACAACCTTATTTAATATATTAATAGTATTTTTTATAAAATAAGAAAACTTAAGTTAAATATATTATTATATATATTAATAATAGTATAAGATTTAAATAAAGAATTATTTTATATAATAATTATTAATTATATAATTAATATAAATATCTTTTTTCCCTTTTCTTTATTCCTTTCTCTATCTTCTCTCTTCCCAAAGCAATTTTATATATGTCTTTAT